ATGATGACAATTAGCAGGGGAAACCTGAAGAATTCAAAGAAATGCCTTCTTCAGCGACAGTTTGTCCAACACAAATTTTACTTGACATCACCCAGGATTGAACACAGGTCTCCATGATGAGAAGCCAGCATCTAGCTGCCAGAACTGTAGCGCGGTATAAATTAATATGAATATTTAACAAAACACATTGAAAAATAACTTTTAATTCTGTGTATAATGTGGTATTCTTTGTGTGACTAGCTTTTACATAACAGATATGTCCACAATAAATTACAATCATGGCCAATCATTACGATATTTTAAGTGCGTGAGTTCTCTTAAATTATTTTCATAATTGCTCCCCAAGTACACAAATAAGCAACTGGGCTAATATTGTGTGTTCCCAGACACTGCAGAAACATCTTACAGAAAACTATCCATTAATCATACGGGGAAAATGACGAACAGCTTGGCAGAGAACTGTGATTGCTGCAGTCAGCGTCTTTAAGATACGTCAGAAAAGCACTCACAATCAACGAATTAAAATTGCACGATGCAATCTCGTTAAGTGCGAGTTCTGGATCTCGCACTGCTCAATTGCTATACTTCAATAAGAGTGGAATGGAGCACACGTATATTCCAAAAATTGTTTTACAAATCAGTTTCTACATGACTGATACGTAGGAGGACAATAAATTAAGCCTCTATTTACCCCGTGGCTCTGTAGCTCTTGTCCGTCTTACATATGGGAGGTTTCTTAAGCTAATTTGACATTTGGTACGACTCCTTGGGCGAGTGATCAGCCAGTCGCAAGGCCTCTACCTACACAGCACAGCACAATAAGAAGTGGACAAACAAGGTAAGAGAGGGATTCGAACCCACGATCCCAGTGATCTATGCTCAAGGCTTAGACCAAGCGGCCACTAATAGGAGCCTTCATTGTCATCTCAAATCAACTGTTAGAACTGGATCCACCGATTATGGCTGCTGACCTTGTAGGGAGTGCCCAGTACGCGGACCACTCAATGAAGGAAGGAGTTTCCGTCAGTCAATACAGCAGTGTAGAAGCCTGATAATTGTTGTCTTGTGACTGTGCTGTGTTAACAACATGGCACCTGTTCGTTGCAATCTCCTTTCTGGTCATTGATAACGCCTCGTATCACAACACTCGGACAGACAAACCACCGACGTCTTAATCAAAGAAGGACGAAATGAAAGCCTGGCTATTGGAAATGAAACTTATTTGGGCAGACGTAAAACAATGGGTTGCAAGCAAGAACACAACATTTAAAATTAAGGTCGTCGAGCATCTGTGTCGCCAGAGGTTCGAAGAAATTGGGCAAGAGGAATGTGGAAAAACTAGAACAGATTTATTATGAGCAAGAAGGCATAATCGAAGACGCTATTGAACGCATTACAATTGAAGATAATGGAGTGACCAGCAGCAGCGGTAGTGATGAATCGAGTGATGTCAGAAAGCGATGGTCTGTGAGGAGTGGAAGATTTGGAAGAGGACCGAAGAGTTGTGAAGAAGATAAAATCATCTAATACTCTCTGCAGTGTTAATTTTCTAGTGAAATCGACTTTCCTGTGTTGCATACCGTGGTGATATTTTATTTGGAGTGTACTGTACGCGGCCTGCTGCCATCCTTTCCAGCAAACGTCTGGTAAGTGACTCGCTCCGAGGCTCCAATTCACAAAGTTCAGCGGCCAAAAACGCTGGAGACAGGAAGACGAAGGATTCAAAATTGTCCTCCTCTACTGGAACGCAGTATACCTTTTTCACGTCATGGACTGCAATGTTTGCACGTGCTGGCAGTAAGTGTGAGAAAGACAGCTCTCAGAAGCCCTCTGTTACGTTACCGGTCTGTGACAAGCTTCCTGATCTGTTGTATGGGAACGTCTAATCGAATATCAAGCGAATGTAACCCAGCTGGTGTCATTGTAACTTCAAAGGATGAACTGACTGACATGTTACCATCTTCTTTTCATCGGCCGCGATCTCTGGCAACTGCCCTCCAATATATATTGAACTTACGAGCAAATCCAACTACCTCAGCTTCGCGGCTGAAACCGCAGATACTTTAACTGAATGTTAACTCTCACACATGTTACATGAATCCCTCGCGCCTAAAATGCGTCGGAAAATTCCTGTTTTGATCAAAATCGTCGTCTAAATCCTTAGTTCTAAACATATTTCGTTCCGATAAATCTTTAGCTAGTTTCGCTAAAGATTCAGGCAGAAACGCATATAGACATATGCCTGTAAGAAAATTGACCCTGGTTGTTTTCCCACTTAATTCCATTCTGGAGTAATTTAATAAAACTTCAAGGTATAAAATTTTATGAAAATTAGTTATTACATTGTGACATGTTTGCAATGGTTCATTGCTAACGCTTCAAACACCAGAACGCAGCTAGCTAAAACGCAGTAATGTTTACAGTCGTAAAATGTTGTAATTAATTTGGAAAATAGCATAAATTAAACCGCTAGTGCGTGGACCACAGTTTGAGAAACACTGCCTTGTGCCACCTCTGTATCCTCTTTTAATGTACTGTATAAATACCATGACTTTAGAACAGAACTGGGTGGAAATTATGTACGCCAGCAGAATGCATGTCGAATGAACTGATTCTGAAAGCAGAGTCCGTAACTATGGCAACTTATCCACAAAAGGGGTAAAAATTGATGAAAACTTGACTCCTACAGTGAAGCTACCATACCCTTCGCTGCGTGTTCACTGATATGCGATTTTCAATTGTCGAGAGGAATAAAGCGCTGACGCTGAACAAAAGAATGTTCGTGCTGGAAATACGTACGCAGCGCTGATTCGGAGTAGAGTTGAAGTAATTCAGGCGAAAACCTGATAGATATATTTCTCATAAAATACCTGTAATCACATACTACTAAGAGTCTCGTGGTAAACACAGGACGCACAAATTTATATTAATTTCAATAGTGATAGAAGTGCGCCAGACACTGATAAATATAGAAAAGTAACAATTGCTCACAGCCTTTGGCGTGGTCTAGTTTCACGATCCCGGCTGTGATGGTGGCTTACAATTGCGCGGCAAGGGGAGCGAATTCCTTCCGTGACCTTGAAGCATGCAAGTTGTTGATGGCAAAAAACAGCAAAACTAGGGAGGGGGGGCCTCGATCCCAACAGCACATCATGCAGTATTGTGTGGTGGGAACGGGGGGGGGGGGAGGCAAAATACAACGTTTTCCCCTCGGTACTATGTTGGCATATAAATTGCAACAAGTCTCATGAAATGTGACGAGGAAGAAGACAAATGACAAACAGAAAGAGCATCGTTGTACACATCGGTTTTAAGGATTCGAAGAAGACACAGGAATGGTTGTTACCAATCTAGACTAAATTCTAAAATCCCCAGAACAGAAAAAGCGGTAGGTTATTCTTAACGTCATATTTGTGGTAGACTTTACCCAACACGTGTGTTATCATAAATATTTAAGAAAGAAGGCACTGGAGACGGTTATAAAAAATCTGAAATACTGAGTGAAGAAAATGGCAGTCGATGAGAAACATTCTGACAAAGAGAGCAGGCAACGTTGCCCTGAGGTCTAGTTACCTGATACAAACAATGGAATAAGGCGATAACGGCCAATCAAAATTTTACACTGACGATACATCGGGAGAAAACAATTTAGCATTCGCAGACGTTGCAAAACGACGAAAACACAGGCGTTCAGACGAACGTAAACTCGGGGAAACAATCTTCTAATGTTGCACGTCGGTGGAATTAATGGATTTCTTAGTAACGGGCAATTTATTTATAACACTAGAAGTGCAACAGGAGACAGCCGTGGACAAATGAATGCGACAAATTATGAAAAGTGGGTAGTCGACGAACTTACTACTCCGAAACTTCCGTCTCAGTCTGTAATTGTCCTTGATAAGTTCCCTGTCACTGTTTCTAGTAATGTACGATTACAGTGGGCAATTTTAGTGAAGGTTTCGTTCTAAACTGATTGCAACAAGCTTCCGCAACACAAATTATGTTCCATTTAAATCAATGTGCATGTACCAGGCAAAGTTTCTGTTATATTTCTTCACGCGATAATATTTTGTGCTCCGTAACTTCGGCATTTGGTATTTTCAGCACATTTTTACCATACATGAAAATAAGGACCAGTCAAGTTCTGTAACACCTTAGTTAACTAAGTAATCGATGAAAACAGTAAACACACAATAACTTTAGATAACTTACACTGAATTGTTCCTGAATATAAAATCTTCGCCTGCAAGTTGTATAAAACAGAAGTCAGAAGTCCCAAACAAATGTTGTGTGTAAGTCCTGTAAATGTTCCCTGTGTAAGCATAAATTTAACCACTGAATGAAGATGTTATTTCGTTTCTGAATACATGGACAGCGTGGAAGTAGGCAAGTTCCCGACGTTTCAGTACTTTTATTAGCTTTAGTCCCGACTTTATTAGTCGAGCTGTCCCTTGCACAGAATGCTCCGCTTAAAAACTCAACAACTACAAATGAACATCGTCACACGCAAAACGACGAAATCAATCAAAGACGACGTATGATTTCTGCAACCGTACTCCGTTGCTGAAGCCGACGCACAGCTTGAAATCGGTACGGCCGTAATTTCAGCAGTTCTGTCGCTCAGTGGGCACCTGGCACAAACACATTCTGTGTCCCGAAACTTTGCCTTAGTCGGTACTTCCTTGTCGGAACACGCATTGTTAAATGCTTCAGAAACAGCAGCGAACGATTACGATATGAAGTACTGACCAAACATGAACACACTTTCTGCTCGTGAATACTAAGTTTCCGATTGTTAAAGCAGCTGGTACATACAGTTACCACTAAGCTTTAAAGTGTTAAAACGTAATTTCGATGTTATTTTGGAAAGAAATGCCAACTGCTGACTTCGAAGAATTGCAAATAATATTACACAGCCAAATATGCCAAAAGAAATTATATTACCAAGTACCAGGTATTGTAATTTCACGTTAACAATTCATGAAAAATGAAGGTGTCCGTACATATAATATACTTTATTTATTTTTGATTTATTTAGTGAAACTGTCATCAGCTTAGTAAATGACCAGCTGTTGGATAAGCAATAAATACGAAAGGAAATGGGCATAGTACAATTTAAATACAAATGTTTGTCCAGAAGGATCGAGAAAAATCACAATAATTTCCATCAGGAGAGAGTTGGTCTCCAGGCAGAGATTTTAACCTAACCTAACTTTACGCCCAAAATAGAAAGCAAGAGTGCTAACCAATGTTTACTCTTCTACTGATATGAGTGACAAGATTCAGCCCCATGTAAAAAGACAAGTCAAACAAATTATATTTTGGTGTGTTTTAATATTTACATGAACATAGCAATTCCAATTAAGAATTCATGGAGACACGAAATTCATAGTTCTAATTTTATTAACAAGTGAATAATAGTCACGAAACATAAAATAAACAGAGGCTACTTGTCAGTACAAGGAAGAAATAAAGATTCAAAACAATTTTATAACACTACAGAAAAAAATATACAATAAGACAACAAGAACTCAGCATACACAAATGGGGCCTAGACCATCCACATTAGGAATTATGTTTGATTACGTTATGAAATGTTCTTTTATCCCAGGCTACAAATCTGGGTGATTACTCCTTCAATTACATCTGTAAATATTCATACATTGTTCATATACTTATAAATTCTTACAAAGTTAAATGCAACTTGGTTTATGTTTGTGAATTTCCGAGAGCCCTCCACTATGAAGAGACAGCGTGATGTGGGTGGGGCGTCCTGAGGTCAAAGCCAGTGTGGAGTATGTTTTGAAAGTGTTTCCTTCGGATGATTTTGGATAGCGACTAGGTTTATGAAGAGTGGGGGCCGTGGGTGGCGTTAGTTCCCCACCGTACCCACATAAAATTCTATGATATATCCTGTCACTTGCAGGACACAATATTAATAGAATTTAGAAACTACATAACCTCAATTCAGAAATAATACAGACTAACCTCGCTTGCTACTATAATTCAAATCCAATTTATCTGTATACTGTCATCTTGCCTTTTCAATTTATATTTTTGAATCAATTTTAATCTTTCAAATAAATCAAAATCAAAATGTACCAGCATTTGGTTAACCTTTATCACAAGTGTATAGGGCATTTAAACCCTCAAAATAATGGGCTTCTGGTTCGACTTCAACTGTGGGGTTTTAACGATGTGGCAGTTAAGGAACAATGTATGCTCAATAAAGGTTAAACTGTACGTAAAATGTATAAACACATAAAGAGGAAATAATTACAATTGTGCACTGCGCTACAAATGCATACAGAGGCTAGACAGTAAAGATTTTATTACTGCCTCTACACGGAGGCGCTCCATTTATTTTTACCATCAGAAAATGGCACATATTATCCACTGGTTAGATGCTGCACAGGACCCCACAGCCATTTTGATTGTGGAGATGGACAAAGAACTCTCAATTCAAGTCCAGACATAAATCCATAGCCTTCCTCTTTATGAACAATGACACTCACTTCAGTTACCTTATTTGAAATTTTGTACACTATTTCAAATACCATACCGTAAATAAACCATATATTATAATAAATTTGGAATGAGCTAGTGGAGCCCACTGGGTCAAGTGAACTCATCATTCACTTGAGTCTCAGCACATACAGAGACTTCTCTCCTTGCTACCACGTCCTAAGCGGCTGGGCACCAAAGGCTCATTCTGATTTGTAATTATTCAAGTTAATTCTAATGGGGGACTTTTGTCAATTAAGAGCATCAAGCAAGGTCTGCAGAATACTTCTTTAAATAGGTTTCCTTTTTGTGCATTATTAATATTATTTTCTTATTTGTGTGGTCACAATTATTACATGGCCATGAAATTCAGCTGAGCAATGTCTCTTTTGGGGCATTCTACAAATACATGAAATGATTAGGCTAATCTTGACCACATTTCCAAAAAACTGTTGCAGGGTTACATGGCAGTATTGTCTCAAGTCATCAAACACGACTTTATACAGTAGGTTGTTCGTGGGACATCCCACATCATCACAACTCCCAACACACAAACACTCAATCCCTTATGAGCCTAGAATACGTCCGTTTTCTGTACTCATTCATGGCACAGTGCTGCCACATCAGCAGCCACCACACGTTGAAGGTGGAGAATTCAGAGTTACGTCTGCATCTTCATCTCCAGGTTTAGGCCTTCCACGCCGACCTGGCAACATGGCGCGATCTACAGCCATCTCCATCCTCTTCATGACACGATCCAGAAGAATTTCAACAGCTCGTGACACATTATGTCCTGTTGCTGCACTTGTCTCCAGATACAACATTCTGTCAAGATACATATTTCTTAATTTTGCGGGCTCCGAATCTGAAGAGATGTAGTAGGAATCAGTTGTGGCCTATTTCAAGATTCTATCTCAGTACTTGGCAGGATGAACTTACAGAAACAATGACAAACCTCAGTCAAAATAACCAGTTTCCTGGTTTACATTAAAATGAGTACCTCCAAAATGCATGTGAGGTGAGCTGTTAAGGTACAATTTGGCTGCACGCGACAGAGACAAGAGACCGAGGCAGGCGACAGAGTTATGAGACCGAGACTGGTTGCGTCCTGCCTGCTCTCTGTACAATCGTATGAAGTACAATTACGAGCGCGAGACAAAGACAGGCGACAGAGACAAAGCACAGGAGACCGCTCTCGGACCAGTAGTGTCTCGCGACGGGCTCAGGCAGCACGTGTGTTGTTGAGGAAAATAATGGCAGAAATTAAATTTACTGGTGACCAAGATGAGCAATTGGTAGAATTAGTAGCAGAAAACCGACCACTGACCACCGACAGAAAGATCCTTCTTCGCGTCTGGTTTTGAATATTGAACTCATAGGTTTTCTTTGTTTCTTTCGCAACAAATAACACAGCAACACATCATCTTCTTCTTCTTCTTTGATTAACCTTTTTAGAAGCATTTGTGTACTCATTTTTCACAGAATATGTGCACGTATGTCTCAACAAAACAAAGAAAACAAACACTTTGCCGCATGTCTCAGTCGTCACCTCAAAAGTGTGTGGCGACAAGCTGCGATGTGTCCGTCTCCCGTCTCTGTCGCCTGCCTCGGTCACTTGTCTCTGTCGCGTGCAGCCAAATTGTACCTTTACTCAGAACACATTCAGAATTCACACATTGTGAAGTTCAATAGGGTAGTTTCAGAAGTAACAAGTATTAAAGAATCAAAAAGGAATGCCTATATTGATTGCTGTACTGTATTGACATTAATGAATTTAGAGTCATGAAATACATAACAATACGTACTTTCTTACTTGAGTAAAAATTAAGTTCAATATTTGATCACTTTTCATCAAGTACCATTTGCTGACTTCAACTAACATTTTCTATAACGACATCCAGTGATGCTCTCCACAGCAGCTGTGATTTCTCCCCTTAATTCTTCAAATGACTGTGGATTATTCACGCGGATATTGTCGTTCAGGAATACCAATAAGAACTAACACCAGCAATTCAAATCTGTCAACTAAAGTGGCCAAGACTTAGGATTCAAAATTGTCCAGGATATTGATAACAGATGGTACTATCATGAAAATGTTCACTCAGGAAATGAAGAGATGAAATGCAGTATGTGGCTTTGCCCCATTTTGTTACAATAACTCCCACACCATTAAAAGATAGGACAAAGCAGTCTTGGAGGAGTTTTAGGCAGGGTTCAGCATTAACTACGTCATACAGGAAGACTGGTCCAAGAATTCCAGGGCACCACACAATGCATCTTTGAGAGTACAAAGGCATGTCCAAGATTGCGTGTGGTTCTCAATGCCCCATACACTCATATTCTGTTTACTGACGTACAACTTTGTGTGAAAGTGCTTTCTGCTCGTGAACCAAGCATCATTGGATTGTCTTCAAAATGCTGATGAAATGAAATACGAATAGCACGTTGCCTACGCTTTCCGATGTCAGTCATGGATTTCTGCACCTAAATTTTGGAGGTGGAAAAGTTTATGTTCTGTTGACCAATGATTAAAGTAGATATATCTTTAAAAACTAGCTGTTAGAGAAGCTTTTAGCAGATTTGTTTGCACTATGAGTAAAATTTCCTGTACATATGTGCTGTTTTCAGGTGTCCTCACAGACTTCTTTCTGCCAACTATGCCATTCTTACGCTTCATTACATAACAAGCCTATTTAAACTGTTTCACTAAAATCTCAATTGTTGATTTTTTTAACCTTCTCTGCATTAAAATCTCATTTTGAAACAGATACTGCACTATAATAATAATAATAATAATACTGGAAAGCATACATGTCTGAGTATACAGCTGCTTGCAAAATTTTCTGCTAGAGGATATCTTAACCAATAATAAATGATCAACTGTTTATAAAGTGAAGCTTCTGTGGCGACTGAAGTTGATGAAAGACTCTCGGGTTACGAGCCGCGTCAGGCGGCTGAATGGTTAATAAACCAGAAGATATTATTTATTCACCATTCAGCCACCTGACGCGGATTGAAACCTGAGAGTCTTTCATCAATCTCAACTGTTTAATTTCTTTGATACCAATTCCATTTAGTCTTGGTACAATATAACAATAAATATAGGCATTTAAAACTACTGAATCTTTCTTTTGTGACCATATATAACAGAATTCCAGTGATTACAATTCCGTCCCTGATAAATATTTTTCAAGCCTTTCAGTTCTATTCTCCCCAACATACCTGGCTATCCACTTGTTTTGTCCTCCTGTAGTTCTAAATGTGAGACGGACATGGTGATTAAAATTGTAAATCAGAAAGGGCTAGGGCAGAAACATTTGTCATCCCTTTCACAACACCATTTCGGTCGATGTTGGTCTTCTGGGCAGTAATGTCATGTAGACTTGTAGGCAGATACAAACTTCTGGAGGAACATCTGCTTCCATCTACAAGTCCACATAGCATTACAACTCAGAAGACCAACATCAACATGTTCACCACCGCAAGAATCCGAAATCTCATACAAGTAAAAAGAGGGACGATGTTTGGCAGTTGTGAAATGTGCACTGCCTTTGCCTTGTGCGCAGCAGTTGCATCACTTTCCAGATTTCCTGATATGGTGATATTAAGAGAATGTGGTAGTTTAAATACTCCTTTGCAAAACTGACATTATGAATCAGTGTCTGCAAGATTTTCATTGTGTTGAACTACAGCATAGGCTGTTTTATATAAACCTTACAGTCACTATGAACTGTCAGAGAAAACTCAGAATAGTTTCCTGAGGTTCAAGTTCCTTGCAGAAAATTTTCAATTTAGTAAGTAGCACAGCTGGCGAGCTAACAGACTGGAAGCAAAACGTGACTGAGTATTCACAGAATAGAATTTGATTACTGAACATATGATTGAACATTAGCCCTAACAAGACTCTAAAGCACTTTGCACGAAAAACGGAAATGCCAAGAAACAGTGGGAACCACAACAAAACTGTCAGAACTACAGTCTTACAAAATAACAGTTGAGTAGTCTATGCAGCCACATGAATACAGCTGGCAAAGAATTAAAGCTAAAGTGCTAGTTCTGCTAAATCACGGACATGAAATAGTTTAGTCCATAAAACAGCACTCAAATTACAGCTGTAATTTTTTGAGGTATACTACTTAACCATACTGGGCCTTGGCAAGGCCTCTCTCTACCTGTACACAGGACAGCACAACACAGAAAAACTCGGACAAACATCCATGGCTTGAGTGGGATTCGAACCCACGGTCCCAGCGACCAAGCAGCACAAGGCCCACGCCTCAGACCGCGCGGCCACTGCAGACCCCACTACTTAACCATAGTGCTGGCAAAATATTGCGGAAAAACAAAATTCCTGGAACTTCCAAATTCAAGCCAAGAACTAAGCTGCTCACACTTCCTCACTGCACGGTGACCAGTACAGTATCACATGCAAGAAGGTGCAACTGAAGGCTGAGTTTATGTGACATGCCAGCAGGTCAGGCAATGGAGGGGCACTGGTAAAAGTAGAACTTTGAGAGCAGACTGCAACAATACCAATTTGTCTATCAAATATCCCACATTGACTACCCAATGCCTCCTAAGAGGTAGATCAATATCTAACCTTAAGTTATGGCATTACTTCATTAAATTACATTAATGTTGTCATGCACCGAGCTTACCCACCCATACTTGTCGGCTGTCTCCTTGACACGCTGTTCACTGATGATTCTCTTGTCCTCCAAATCACATTTGTTGCCGCACAGCACTACATCTGGGTTCTCACAGTATGCATGTGTCTACAAAACATACATCACAACAATTCAATTCATGTTAAAAGATTCACAAATGAAGAAGGTATTCTTCCCAAAACCCAACAAACAGAAGAGTCTTTATCGAAAACAATGGCAACAGGGAGAAATTTTTAATGTACAAAGACAAATGGCATAGAATATTAGTAACAGCAGCCATAGAATTCTGATCACTTATGTTCCAAACACAAACTAATTTCTTTCTGAGAAATAATAGAAACTCAAAGATGAATCCTTCAGTGCCTGCAGAATAAACAATCCACCATATAGTCACTTAGCACTTTTTTCTATGCTTATATGTCTTCTTTACTAGTGGTCTGATGTTTATCAAGCTGTGACACAGCAGGACGGGAGCCATAAACTGCCATGCATATACAGAAACGTCTTTCTAGCTAGCCAGGTTTACAATGGAAACCCTTTCACTGTACTGTGTAAAATTGTTTCAACAGACAGAAATTCACGTTCTTAGTTAAGCATATAGCGGTTCAACAAAATGGAGTTCTGTAAAATAATTCGCTGTTTTGAGAAAATCTGTACCAAAAAGGGAAAATGTAAGAAGTCAATGCCTAAAACAGAAATGTGTTATAAACATAAAGAAATAATTAACTTTTGCAGGGATTAAACTTTACTCTGAGATCCATATTGTGACATCGTGGTAAATACTGGTTAACACTCAGACGAATGGCATGTTTTTCTTTACTAAAACTAAATTTACATATAAATATCATTTACATGCAAGTGCCCAGTCATAGAGAATATTACCTATTCCTAAGAACTGACATCATCAAAGTTATAATCACTTGGCAATTGATAATGGTAAATAATTCCAGTGCTCGTAAAAGTATTGACTTCCATAAGATTCCATAACATAAATTAAAAATACCGAACATAAGCAAAACTGTCTAAAGGAGCGAGAAATTTATCTTGTTAGTCAGTAGACGAAAATTATGTTTCAATGCAAAACTTGATTTTGTTCATTGGAAGCAGTTCTTACAAGACGGAAAAAAAAATTATTCAACTGAAATTTTGTTCTAATTTTCCAGTTTCGATTTCTGTTCATCTACGAGAAGACTGGAGAGCCAGACGCCCTGCTCCCACTCACACACACAGTACATCCCACCCTGCCATACAGCACGCACGCAGTAGCAGCAGCAGTGGCAAATGACCAAGAATAGTTGTGATGGCAGTGGTTGGAGTAGTAGGTTATTTAATGTCAGCTGCAGAGATTAGGTACAATGAGGTGAGTTTGAGGATGATCATGAGCAGGGATCTGGGAGGAGGTGGTTCTGATACACTTTAGAGCAATCAATTGGACAGCCTAGATTGATGTGACAAAACTATACTATCAAAATATATGTTAAAATGCTTCTGTCAAATAGCTCAAAATTGCTGGAGCTACAATTACTTCGGGTGCCAAAGACAAATTGCAAAAGAAATGCAAACATTATGACAGTTTCCTCTAATTTGAATTTACATGCACTGGTAATTTCAGTAGCCTCATACACAATGTATATTATGCATGCTGAACATAAGTCATTAAAGGTGAAAATGGAAATATATGTGAAATATCACACAATGTAAACTGTCATACTGCTTGCTGCAATGAAGCCTGATTACAAAATCTCACCATACCTTACATAGAAGACATACACAGTTTCATGTGTGTTTGGTGATAATAACTTAAAGGTCATCAAAAAAAGTTCTAATTTCAAAATTACACACTTCTGAGAAGAATTAAAGACATGACAATGTGCATTAATTAAACGTATTAAAAGTAATAAGGGTTGTTCTATATGCAAGATACTGACATTGCCAGTCTCTCTGTTTCATTTGCAGCTGCGTGATGCATATACAGTGTAACAATCTAGTAGCAGAGGAAATGCTTATGTGCAAACCTTTGCTTACTCACAATACAGAAGATATTTTCAATCTAACTGATCCGCACATGCCTGAGCAAGGCCTGAATTAGAAACAATGTGTTTATATCTGCAACGATGGCGCTTGATCAATGGATGAAAAACGTCAACTTATGAATCCATGGAATGTAATGAAGATGTATGGATGTATGTACAATCCATGGAATGTAATAAAGATGTATGGATGTATGTATGCTAAATCCATTGCACCAGAATGCATCAGTGACCTTGGTATCTATCATTCATTGCCAAGCTGTTGGTGTTAAAAAGTATTTCAAACAATGTGCAGAAAATGGCATTAGATGAGGTAGTGAAGACTGCAAATTTTATAAAACAAAAGCTATCAAAATTCAAATATGTTCAGTGTGCTTTGTAATAAAATGCTACTGCAAGGTTTAGTAGTTATTATGAGATAGTTTTGGTTCAGTTATTTGCACCGCACTCAGAAATTCTGTTATTCAGTTTTGACCATTTCATCCATGTTTCATCATTCTGTGTGACACTGTGTGGCTCCAGAAATTATCATATCTAGTAGGCATTTTTTAAAAAGATAAATGAACCAAACTGATCAAACAAGCTACAGCATCACAGCTACTCAGGCATGTGAGAAAATTAGTACTTCTTGTGCTATATAGACTTCTTGAGGACATGCATTGAAGAAAATGTCAGAGACCGTTTTCTGACACTGAATGATTTCTTTAATAAACATGATAGTCACATAAGTGATGGGGTTCTCTCAGACATAATGGCATATTTGTGAGACATTGAAGTTTCAGTCAGTGAAAGAGTATTTTCAGCCTATGTCAGGTTTTTGTTGGTAATAAACTCATCTATGTTCTCTTCCACAGAGCAAATTTTATTAAGAAAGCAATATGAAGAATTAATTTATATTTCAACAGGCAAGGGTTTGAGAGACACATGCACAGAAATTGCTCTCATTAACTCTTGGGCTGGCCTGAAGAAAGTGTTTCCACACATTTCAAGTGCAGCCTTGACAAAGCAAAACATATCTGTGCAAAACAGCATTCTAAAAATATACAGCAATGAAATGAAATACCAAAATTTACTTAATGTAAACTATAACATGAGGATACAGCTTTCCAAATCTGTACCCAAATTCAACTTCCTTGCGGCCAATAAGTAGGACTACCCATCATATTACGTAAGTATAACCTGAAGTGTTTACTAAATTTCGAGGTGACTTAATTTAACTTTCTACATACAGGACTGTATTATTTTAAAAATGAGTAATCTGTAACACAAATTATTGTTTTGAGGCTTCTGCAAAAATAATTTATTACTGAAAGGGACCCCAGCAGAAAAATGTTTTTAGAACCACTAATCTAGTAAATATCACCCAAAAAGCTCCTCTGTATACCCTCATTCCTTTCTGGGTTAATGACACTTTCTCAACTAGACAAGTACTGTGTTGGACACTGTCCATTAGGTGAGGTATATCTGTGCATACCAAATATACCTCAGACAATCAACAACATCCAACATTTTGTTCCTATACTGAATCAACCATTGACAGAAACCTTAAGAGAATCACTTTCTTAACTACAAGGTTACACAGCATCAAACTGTACGATAGTCATGTGATTGATGAATTGGAAAGGATATGGAAGAAAGTAATCATGGCCCATTTCAAGAAACAATCCCAGTATTTTCCTGGACAGACTCAGGAATAATCATAAAAAGGACAGGATTTCCAATGTCTTTGCTGAGATTTGAACCCAGAACTTCCCTAATATGAATATGCAGTTCTAATAAAGACACCATAATTGCGGCCAATGCGCTTCATTGTTCTAACAGTGATCTGGTTAAATGGTCCATGACTGCTTCCTATCAATCAATCATACTCATCTGACTCTTTGTCTCCTCTTTCACTCTTCACACCCGCATGACGCATGAAACACATTACCAATTAGTAAAATGTTAATACAGTGGTTCAGACAAACATGCATGACAGGCGTCACAGATGTTAGTGAGTGAGCCCGTCATAATATGTGGAGCCGAACCACTTCCATACCCTCAACTGGTCAAGCCAATTCCTTATTTCCAAGAAGGACTGCTCATTAGTCAAGTCAAAGAGTAGCAAGAAGCCCATTGCATCTCGGTAGAAGGCGGTGGTTAGGCTACGGTATCTAAGGCAAGACAATACAAGGTTATTACTATACTACATGCTTAATACTATTCACACAGCCATTGCACTTAAAAGCGAGTGAAATGTCACACTTACTGGATATGTCACAGCTATTAATGATGTGAAACTACAAAGTCTGAGTGTAATTAGGTGTCTGGTGCCTGTCCTTCAGTTTATAAGCCAACAGAAAAATTATAAGTGTACTTACCATTATCTTGCATTTTAATAGCAGATTTGTCCTTTTATACAAGTTATATTTCAAGTAAATATTAAGAGCCTTCCACAATTAGTGTTATGCATTTTAGGGATGCAAAGAATCAGACCTTTCTGGTTTTTATACTAGCCAGCACTACAAATTAAGTGTTTATATGTACATTTACACGTTTTACGTCAAGTTAAAACAAGCTATCCCTTAAGATTGCCGTCTTCTGGGTTATTGCGCTGTGTAGTCTGGTATATTTCCACCAATGTTTCAGAGGTCATACTGCCTTCGTCATCAGTTTAAATACAAATAAGAAATAGATTCACATAATAATGACTCACTATATACATATCAGTCTGACTAATGTCATTACCCCATGCTCATTTATTAGCTGACTGAAATAATTTTTTCACTTGTTAAAAATACTATGAGGCCATAATGCCACCTGTAGCCAGTATGTAAATCTCAAGGGCTAAGCCCAAATTCCAAATGTGGCACCAAATAACAAGGTGAAAGTTCATTTAACAAAGTTTATATTCTAAAACTTAATAGCATACAAATACAACATTAATGACAAAGAACACAAACACAAATAAAAGTAAACCCCAAGGACTAACGCGGCATCCACAACTTGGGGCAACAGTCTCCAGACTTTGGATCTACAGACCACTGTAGCTAGATCAACACCCCAGAGCCAAAACATGATTTAGAAACATTAGGCAAACCAAAATTTCAATAGATGTTAACCAGGTGGAAGCTTGTAGAGCAATGGCTTTGAGGGCCTGGCAAAGCAGGACAAAGGCTGGGGACATGAAAAACACAGAGGAGAATTGCGCATGACCAACTAGGTGTATTAAAGAAGCCCACAACCACAAGGTGTTAGGATGATCATTGGATTCCTGTGCACACAAGTATATTAACATTCTCATCTTTTAACAAGTTACTTCTAAGAAACACACTTCTTAAAATCACTTATGTGTCTGTTTGTTTCAAGCTGATTAATTCTGTCAGTCTTGATGGTTCTACAAGTTTCATATCTTATACTGCTCAGATAATAGTTTTCATTAGTCTTTGCCAAATGGTTTATGTTGTGTTGAACTGTAATAACCTAGACTCTCTTTGGCTGAAGTTTGTATCTTATCTCTAATAATTTCCCAAATTAAATTCATTATCACTCAAGATTTCTAAAACTGCAAACCTATTTCAGATTTTAGCTTGGTATTTTTAACTTCCACAACACTCAAGCTTCGTGAGATTAAATCTTTCCATATCCAGTTTGCATGTTAATATGTTAACCTATTTTCTTAGTGACAGTCTTTCCTAAATTTGCAACCACAAAGTAGTCAGATATTTCAGTCAGATTCTCTAATAGAGTGGACATCAGTTATTCATGAATTCTATCCTCTATTTAATAAGACATAATCAATCTGCGTATCTTCCCTGCAAAAAAGACAAATAAACTATTGCAGTGCCATTATCATTATTCTCTTTTCCATAGAAAAATGAATGATAGCTGATTAAATATCATTCACGTCAAAAAGCACCTTGTGTACCCCAATGAAATCTGATTTATACTTCACTGATTCTCTTGATACTGTGTTAAATGAAACAGATATAAAGAGACTTCTAATATTCCAAGTTACAACTCTCATCAGTTTAAAATGGAACATGCCATGCTATCCATGGTGGCAAGTGTGATATTTATATGTAAACATAATTTTCTGATTGGATGGTTCAACTGGTAAGATCTATCAAAATTAACTGCAAAAGACAGACTTCCTCATAGAAAAATTGTTTCCAGTATAAGTATTCGGAAAGAGGGTACCTGGCAGGCCAAAAATCTCCTGGCTTCAGAACCTAAAAACTTGGTTCTCGATGTCCAC